TTTTTTACCATGCAGAATCACACCAGTAAACTTAAAGCTTTGGAAGAGCTTGGTAGCAAATCCAAGCTACAGCTTGGCTCAGCTGTAATGCTGGGCCAAAGAAAATGACATGACTGAACTGATAGAACACACATAATAAAATTAATGTAGCAGGTTTCTGGCACCACTTGGTTTATTCAATTATTGTCGGATCAAGAAGAGTAAGTCACTCCTGAGTCTGTGAGAGACTTCTCTAGCTGTGCCACCAGGTGTGGTGGAAGCTGACGCCTGGCAATCTCTTCTTTACCCTCACTGTTTCTCCATATCGTACTGGAAATACTAATCACGTGACATGAAACAGTTGCAGATGTTAAAGAGAAATAATTGGAAATCCTTGAAAATTAGCTTCCTTTGGAATTAATCAAAACTCAACAAAATACACTTCATATTACAGAGTGAGGCTTAAAAGGGATACAGTGGGTTTTTTCTGAATCATAGTGTACTTCAGATTCTTGAATGCTGCTTTTTTTTTTTTTTTCTAATAAACAGGTATAACTATGCTGCCATTGTTAGGACTAAAAACCATAAACTGAATTTGTTACAAGAGCAAAAGGAGCGTGGAAACTAAACTCTTTGTGTAGGTAGAAATGATCATTCTGAAAGTTAACGAATTTTTTGCAACTCATTATACGTTTTCATTTTGGTGTGAGAAGCATTGCACCTGAAGTAAACAGAAAATATTTCTATTGCTTTACAGTAAGGATGTGCTTGATTATACCAATAAAGTCAACATTTTGAAATTTCAATGTTTAAAATTGTCAGAGGTGAGAGGACATTTTGTGCTGTTTTCTCTATTCTCTCAATTCCTCTATTCTCACATTCTACTCACTTTTATGGATTTTAGTGGTCAAGTATTCAGAGTAAAACAGGTCATTATGTTTTTTTGCAAACACAACCTTCACTTCTCAATTAAACTAATCACAGATTAAATATATTCTGCAGTTTTACACCCCATGCCTCAGTACTGCCAAAGAGATGACTACTAACACTCATGTATTACCAGGAATAAAAGCAGAAAAATGAAAGCTGGACTGAATGCAGCAACAGAAGAAGGAATGGAGTGGTATGATTTGAAGAAGCAAGTCTTCAAAATGCGTTCTGCAGGGAAGAAGCAAAACTAAGCCTTCTTTTTTCCTTTTTTTTTTTTTTTTTTTTTTTAATTATAAGAGAAAGTAGAAGTAAAGGTAGATTTCATCCCACAGTTTGAGAAATTTTGGGTCTGTCTGTGGGGATATGTAGCTCCCATTATAAGCTAAGTGTGACAATAGTTACAGCAAAACCTAGAGAGCTGAGTGAGCTTCATAAGGAAACTCCCTACCTGAATAAGGTAGAGGTCAGTTTACAAAATTCCACATTTTCAACTGTGAGTGTGCTCTTTGCCTTCGTTGGAGGACAGGTCTCATCCTCAGGGCCCTGCAGTACACTGTGCTTATGGGGAATTTCCCTTGTGCCTTCTTTGGGTCCCACCTCTCCCTGCAAACTAAGGCAGTCTTTTCCATTCCAAAGCTTCTCATCCTTTTAAGTCATACGAGGAGCAGCTGAAGGAGCTGAGTGTCTTTAGCCTGGTGGAAAGGAGGGTCAGGGGAGAACTTTTCACTCTCTACAACTACCTGAAAAGGTTGTAGAAAGGTGAGAGTCAGCCTCTTCTCTCAGGCAACTAGCAATAGGTCAAGAGGTTCCCTCAAGCTTCAGCAGGGAAGATTCAAGTTAGACATCAGGAAGAATTTCTTCACTAAAAGGGTGGCCAGGCATCGAAACAGGTTTCCCAGGGAGGTAATGGAGTCACTGTCCTTAGAAGTGTTCAAGAAACAACCGGATGTGGCACTTAATGTTATGGTTTAGTTGACATGATGGTGTTTGGTCAAAGGTTGGACTTGATGATCTTGGAGGTCTTTTCCAACCTTAATGATTCTATGATTCTATTCTATTCTATTCTGTGATTCTACGATTCTTAACATCAAAACAGTTGCTCACAGTTCTACTCTCCTATAATGAGATGAGACAAGCTTAAAACCGTCTTATTTCTGTGGAAATGAGATTGTTAACTTTGCTATCTTTTACATCCTGCTAATTGGAATGCAGTACTTGAATAAATCCTCACTTGTTACTGAAGAGTTATTTTGTATGGGTAAAAGTGCTAATGTTTCAGAAGGTCCTGTTTTGAAAACATTTAACACTTCTTCCTTTACCACTTCCTTTAACACTTACCAACCACAGTAGAATTCATCACACAGGTTTTGTTTCTTCCAGCAGCTACACAGCAGTACAGTGCAAAGTCAGAGGCTGTAATGTTTTGAAAGACGATCCTAGGGTTTGCCTGGTGAGAACAATCCACCAGTGTACGCTCTTTGAAATCTGAACAAAAGCTTTGCTTTCCAGAAGAGTTGCACAGAATTATGATATCTACCCAATCTGCTTTAACCCCTTCCCACATTGCTTGCTGCATTGAATCTCTGGTTTTATAAAGGCAAGTAAAAGTAACATTTTCTCCTGCTTTGGTAAACGTGGTATTATTTTGTTTCTCAGACACTTCAAAAGCATCTGTTGAAAAACACAAAACCCAACAAAAACCTGCTTATAACTCATTCAAGGGAAATTTAATATCAACAATTCCTATATGGCAAATATTAATGAAATTGACTTACAGCAGAAAGATATTCAAATCATTTGAAATGCTGAAAAATATCATTTATACCCATCTATGACTATATTTTTGTGCACATTTAGACAAAACTGTTTATAGAACTGTGAGGCTGTGATAACATGGCAAGAAAGCTATTTCTATACATTGTGAGTACATGAATGTTCTATTAACAATTCCAGCAATATTCAGCAGCATAAATTATGCGGCCAGTCTAATTAAATTTGTGATAGTCTTGTTCTGCTTTCACACTAGTTATCATAAGAAAGTGGTTTGATGTGACCCTCAGGACACACAGTAGTAAATTATGTTAAAAGTCATTCCAGCCTCTGAACTGCAAATTCCCCCATTCACAAACCTTACCTCTTCAATAAAAAAATTCTTATCCTTTTATGTGCTCTACTAGGAAAAAAACCTCTGTGATAGTCTGTCTGTGGTATTGAAGACGACTTCAAGACAAATTCAAGACATCAGTCATGTAGAAACCATTATAGATGTATCTTAAATAATTTTGACTGAAATCCCCTTGCTCTGAATTATTATTTTTAGTAATATAATTCACTGATTACAAATTAAGAAAATAAATTTTTTAAAAGTCTTCATTTGAAAGATTTTCAATTTCTCTGATATTCAGAGCCACTTGATTTCTAACATCAACTTTGTAATGCCTGCCTTGTAAGTTAGGACTAGCACTGTCATCTTTCTGAAGAATTTAATTTTGGAAAAGATTAATGATCAGGCTGTTTTTCCTACACTGTAAAATCATTGATCTTTCAAGTTCTTCCGTGAGATCCTTATTTTTATTAGATGTTTTTAAGTAAAAGAAGTCACTACTGCATAATTTTAATGTGTTTGCCTCTGCCTGTGGCAACAACTGGAGAGTAAGTATATGACCTAGGAAGAAATTATTCCATTCATGTTGACAGGGTAGAGTCCATTGTGGGAGCCTGTAACTTCCATTCTGTCTCTGTGAAACAGTGAATGGAAAAGTCTAACCTTCAGTTTTTTTGTCAATGGAACACAGCACAATAAAATTACATTCCCTCTGCCTTTGGAGACCAGAAATATGATTAAAACATTGAAATGTTGAAAGACCATAGAAACTGTGTCTAATGAGTTTACCTAAAAGAAAATTATTAAGAACTTGAAGATCCATGTAGACTGCAATCAAAGAGACTGAAAGTTAATGACAGACAAGGACAGAAGAGAGATAAATTCACTAAATTAAACAGAAGGTACAATACAGTGAAGCTAATTAACTCCTTGGACAGCTTGCCAAAGACAGCTAAATTTTTATTACTGAAGTTGACTGCCAAGGCTGGATAATAATTGAAGTTATCATGCTAGTTCCAGCAAGAATTTTTATTCATGGAAGTCTAAGTGTTATTCAGATTAGACTAAATGACTGCTATGATGAGGCTCTACACTTGCAAAATATGTTCCTTGAAGTACAGTCCCTCAAAATTCACTGCCTTGGAACAGGTAATTTTTTTATACCTAGCAGATGCAGATCTGCAGATTCATTCAGATCTGCTAGGGAAGTAAATGAAAAAGCAATTGAAATCAATCCTCTCTCTGGTACATCATATTTTTTGAGGTCAGATCCTTTCCTCAGACGTCTGACTTCCAGCAACTGCCTGCTTTACAATAAAATGCATATTCCTCCCAGAGAAGTCTTGCCCTTCTTCATTGTGCAGTTTTTGTTGTCATCTTCCACTATGAGCAAGCCCTACTGCTACCCACGTTCTCCTGAGAAGCCTTGAAGTCTCCCCATCTTCTCCTGGGTCCATCCTTCTGGCCCTATTTGTTTCATACAATGCCACCCTGAACTCTAGGTATGTAAACATGCTTAATAGGGAAATTATGTGTATGATCCCACCTTCCAGGGGATTTCCATCTGACCCAAATGACAGCCAGCCAAGACCTTATAACAACCAGACTTCTTCTTTGCTGCAGTGCTGTATATTTTCTAGAAAAATGTACATTACACATATGGTCAAGTGGAAACAAAGAGATAAAATATTTTCTACCAGAATTATTAAAATCCCCCTGTCTTAAAATTTATTAGTTAACTCTGGTGTTATACTTGCCAAACAACATATCCCAGTTTCTCAATAATATATAATATTACGACATTGTGGTGTACTATAATAGGTACCTTGCAAAGCTAAGGTTGCCTTGCAAATTCAGTGTAGACTTTCCAGATGTGAATCTTGATATAATTGTATAATTTACTGGTATTCAAATAATAAATGTTATGTTAATAGTGAGAACTATGCACAAACAGACAAATTAAAATAGAAACAGTTTGGAGATCCTTGGCTGTTCCACATTCTATCATAACTGTTTTCAAACACAGATTTTATGACTTCTTTTTTTTCGTATTTGTATTATATTTGAAACTATGCAGCAACATTAAGGTATTTTCACTCTTGATGAACAATGTAAATGCCTCCCCTTCTTGCAATATGGTACCTTGAACAATTGATATGATTATATAAGGTACAAACAATCGAGAATCAGGGCTACATAGTTCTAATTAAATCATCTAAGGATGCTAAAATATTCCAGGCTTTTGTTTTAAACAATTGTCCCATTTTATTTTGACACCAGCATCAGCAGATTTCTTTCATCCTCCTTCGCCTCTGTTCAGCCATTTACTTTATTTAGCACCTTTCTAAACACAGTTGCTTTGCTTTCAGCCATGTGTGTGTGGGATGAAAACCTCCCGCTCTGAGAAGCATTTCTATGGGGAAAAAAGCACACCCACACACCTTCACCCCTACACATGCACAACCCAAGGTGACACCCCATGTGTGAACATTTCAGAAATGCTAAATAAAAATTTATCATTACATCTGATAAAAGTAGGCTTTACCTGCCTGCCACTCACTCCAGACACTGCCACTGCTGCCCATGGTCACATCATCCTGCTTCCTGGACAGAAAGTAGGAGCAGACGAGAATACTCACGGTCTATAGGCCTCTGCTTAGTGAGGAAGTGCTCTATGCTTGTTATCTTCCATGCACCTGTTTCAGTAGGATGTTATCTCATATTTTGTAGTTGTACCTATTTTATTCACTATTATTCAAAGGCAAAAAATGCAAGCTTTCATATTTGTAAGGTACATGATCTTCTAATATTTTTCTTGGAAAGCAAATCTCAGACACATAGAGGTATAAAAGAGTTTAGACCAAGTCTACAGGATTTAAAGGATCAAAAAATGAAACTAAAATTCTGCAGAGGAGAAATAGTTGAAGTTGAGAAAATCTTTTGAAGAAATAATAAAATAATGGTGTAATTTCCTCCCCACTCCCTGCATTTGTTACAAGGAACTAAAAGTCAAGATATATCTTAAGTAAAATTTGATCCCAATTCTTTTGGGTAGAGATTTTCAGCCTTTCTCCTTTTTTTTCTTCTTATCTCATCTACTTAATTTTTTATTTTATTTGCTTTGGGTTTTGGGGTTTTTTTGTTCTTTTGCTGTCCCATAAGAGTAGTTGATTTTGTTTCTTCAGAAGGAAGATGCTTAGATACCTTTACTTGTATTCAGGTAGGTTGTTTATTTTTAAATGCAGTATCTATGGTGTTTTAATTCCTGTTCCCTGTAAGTTTCACCAGTCCCACATGTATAATTTGCCACAAAGTTCTAGAGTTGCACTCTGGATTTGGAGTGCACATCAATCTCATGCACTCATTCCAGTTTAAAAAAATATACAAAGAAAACAATATTGAAACTTCAACATCAGCTCTGCAACTCCAGAAAGGCAAAATTCAACACTAAAATAAAATGTATTGAAATGCCCTTCTGTATTACCACGTTTCTGCATCTCTGAAGAGGCTTAAAGCTTAGGTTGAGTACTACCAGAGCTGGTTTTATACCAAGATAGTTGCATCAGCTGATGCAGGCAAGTGAAAACAGAGCCGAGCAACAAATGAAAGGGAATCATATCCTATCCTAAGCCAGACCAGCACACAGACATTTTCAATGTGCTCCCATTTATCAAACGGTCAGGACAAGCTCATAGTTCTCAGACTGATGGTAACAGAGCTGCTTTCAAAGCAGGTACCCTTAGGAAGTAATGCTCTCCATTAGAAATAACTGGCGATCTTTTCAAAACTGCAAAGCTAACTTAGCACTACAGCAGAGACAGGTTCCCAGGTCCCACTTGGTTTGCTGAAGCTCCGCATACACACACAGCTTTCTTCATCTGCTTGCAATAAGCAGTGATGAAAAAACAGTTGCAGATGAAAAGGAGGCTTAAAATTTTATGAAGGCAAACTTTCTCTGGGACTATTGTTTTCACCAAGAAAATCAGCTTTCAGGAAAGAAAATATTTTGAATGATCCCTTCACCTTCCCTGAATAGACTAAATAAGGCATTATATTTGGCTCCTAAACTGTCTTCCAACTGTATTAGCAAATACTACATGATTTTGTGGAGTTTCTATATAAACACAGTTTTGCCCTTTTTCGGATGACACAGAGAAACATTAAAGCCTAACTATTAAATAAGGTGGAACAGTAAAGATCTCCATTCTAATGAGCTATTGACACCAGTTCTACCATCAGACTAGAAACAAGTAGCAGTGTTGTGTTTGAAAAGAATGCATTCTCCTAATAACAACTATTTGGATCATAAAAATTAAAAAGAAAATATTTATACTCCTATACCCTCAAAACACCCCTTTAAATATATATTAAATTATATTGTTAAAAACTTGGTGAATCTTTCCGTACGCATTATTAATTCTGCATAATATTTTAACCGCTTAGCATACTATTTTAATTCACCTACCAATTCCAGTTTGTTTGCATATATTCCATGACTCTTTATTGCTATTTTACTGGTTTAAGCTGAACTTTATTTGTCTGGAGTGCAAGGAAAGGGAGAAGTCAA